AAGTATGGTCGTTTTTCAATGACTTTAAACCAGATTTATATCTGACAGTGTTCAGTGAAATTCGAGCCATAAACTTTTTCCCCAAAGTTACCTTATTTTGCATGTCTTTCTGAGGTCATCATTTTCATTAAATGGAATCGAAATGGTCCAATTCCCCACACTTTGATTTTCTAACTCCTGAAGAGACTGGGAATAATAGTATTGAAACCTGTGCATATCACATGATTACAAAGTAACTCAGTACCCACTGTTCTGGTAAATTACTAGTCTTGTCCGGAATCGCGAACCGCACATACGTCACATCAATAGACCTAGTTAGAATTACCTTGAAAAGATTTTTCCTGATATTTTTGTGCCCTGTGAACTTGACTAATTGCTCANCGATTGATTCTATATAAATATTGATCATTTTGATTGCTGAGTCCACTTCACACTGAAACGGACTAGAAAACACCTGGCATTTTCATAATTAAGCCAAGGACCAGAGTCATTATTTAAGCTAATTAGCTGTTGCCCCAAAACGTGGTATTTGTCCGAATTTGCACACTCACATTATTACTTATTGGAAGGACCGTCTGACGAAAAAGATTGCGTTACATTCACTCTCATCACTCTGAGATAAAACGTCTGTGTTCATCGGTGCTATCTGCCTAAAGTCCTTTATTTGCTCTCTTGTGAGTTCGCCTCTCAGTGTTGAAATCTATCACCCGAGTTCCCCTTGTCTGCTCTGGCAAAGCATTGTTTACAGCGAACATTTCAATAATTCCTTTACGTTTTAAAATCCTTTCTTTTTTCCTGATTACGTTTCTATATTGCCCATCAATCCGTGTGCACTTCACAAACCTCATTGCTCCCTTCGTTCCATCGACCGATTTATTCCATCCGGCGGACCGAAACTTATCGGTATCTCGTAATTCTGAATGATAAAAAAAGTTGATTTTACAATTAATCTCGTGGTTGATCAACCTTATTCTAACGTACTTTTTCACCCGTACTGCACGGATGGTTTACAGTTGACTGAAAACTTGCGTGAAATTCGCTGAATTAAATATGCGAATACAAATATAAAAATCATAACTGTCCGCCAAACTCGTTTGTCCGATAAACTCGTCCTATGTATTGCCCAGTTTGAAACACTGTTGCTATCGTAGCACTGCAAAATAAAAAACAGTTTATTCTAAAATTGTATCAACTTTAAAATATCATGCAAGTTTCCTGATAAAGCGTTTCCAAAAACTCTCCCGTTAATAGACCTATCATAACTTATGAATAAACAGCCGCTTCCTTGATTACTTGAATGACCTCAGGCAAGTTAAAGGAAAGAAAATTCTTTGAAAATTAAGTTCAAAAATAGGACTTTTTCCGCCTGAATATTCGCCCAGCACCTGCCCCGTTTCACACGCAATTTATGTTTCCATTTTATCAATTTATTGATAATAGAACGCATTGTTTTGTGGCTTTCTAGTTATTCTAGAAAAACCGATTTTCTTTTTGTTCAAGTCCTCTGATGCAAGCGCCACTTAAGTATCAACCAATATCAGGCTTCAATTGTTTGCCAGAACGCTCTTGAGAAGACTGATATCAAGCTACTTTTACTCCACAAATCGTTCTCTTTCTCTTCAGCCCATTTACTCACAAGATTCGAGGCTACGCGAGCACTTAAAGAGATTGGCAACGGGATTGTGAGCGAAAGTCGAAGAACCAGATACTGGAAAATTCGCAGTGTTGAATGAACATTGCACGAGGCACAGATTGAGTAACGCGATGATGAATTGGTCGCGTGTCACTTTTGAACGTTGAGTGGTTACCGTGACTAAAACAATGGTCAAGAAACAAAGAAAATAGAGCAAAACCCTTGGCTAAACAAATGAAAGAAAAATTAACGTAAGGAAACAGTAGGGTATTCGATTGAGAAATGGTGCTAGGTAATTTCATCCACAACGTCAAAAACAACTTCATTTTCTTTCAAAAACAACGTTGATTATTGTCCTTTTTGGAAAAGTTGAAGCGTATCATATTTTTGAAAAAATCATCGTGTTTTTGAAGGACATTTCAGTTCTAATAGTTAATGAGAGGATAACGGAATAAATAGTCTGTTCATCCGAGCTAATGAGAACCAATCGTTGGCGTGTTCTTTTACCCACTAAAATACGTGGATACTATTCATTTAATAATTTTTGCCAATCATACTTTCGTTTCAAACTAGCTGTCTAACAAATTGAGTCACACTGAGTCAAGTCAAATTAAACGAACAGCTCGTAAAAGATTTCGGTAAAAAGAAAAAAAGAAAAAACACTTGAATTAAACAAATAGGTGGGGCGGAAAAGTGTACGGAAAAAAGGGAGAAAATTATTCCGCCTATTGTCTTATCCTCGAAACTGGAAATAGTTTGTGTTGGTCAAAAAGAACGTGAGCCAGATAAGTACCTATATGTTATCCGTAACAGAAAAGCTTTCATTCATCAAACTAGCGGGAGATACGGTCAAGTTAGTTGTTGGACGTAGGATGTGATATAATGACTGGCAGATTACTAAATCAACTCAGTTGTCACGTTGTTCTCAACCTATCAGTGACATTTTAAAGGTGTAATCTGGTGATTACCAGTCGACGTGGAACGAAAAACAAGCTTGCCTCGAACTTTGGATTCTCTCAATGTAATCTCAAATACAAATTCATTTGTTACTATTTTGTTTTCCACCAATCAGAGAAGTGTTGGAACAAATGGATTTCGTTGTCCCCAATATCTGCATGGGAAGCATCACACAGAACAAACTCTGACTTCATTAGTCAGTGCTGCTTAAGTTAGAATATCTCATTTTTTATTGCCTCAAGGGATACCGGAACGCTTAAACTCGAAAAAACAACTGTTCTATCCGCATCTCGCACCCGCCCAATTGAGCGAGTCAGATATGTTCCGGTTGAATGAAGCGGAATCTTTTTTTTCGAACGTTTGTCTGGAACAGACAAGATAGTTCGATGAATCTGAGATACCATCATTTCCGACTCTGCTTTTGTGTTTGTCTGTGAGAACAGAGAGAGAGAGATGCGCGTCCCGGAAGCTCTGAAGCATATTTCGGTTTACGTGCCCCTTAGCTATCCCAAACATCTCACAAAATTCTCTTTGATCGACCGGAAATCTCTAGTTAAAACTAAGCGCTTGGGTTTGTCAATGCTTACTTGATGCAACATTCCGCGTAAAATTGATGCACGTTTCATTCTTCATAGATATATATATATATGCTGAGACATACTATAATACTACTTCTAGCGATATCCATCGATGTATAGATACACTTCAAAAACCAAGACGACATAACATCCAGTCGTCGAACGAGAACCGCCAAAATTTAATCGTTGTCTATCAGTACAGGTCTTTGTCGCAGAAAAACTGCAGCTGCACATCTGTGTCCGGCATGTAATCGCGCTCTCGCGCACACAAACACGCGCTCGCGTAATCATGTATATTCAACGGTATGCCAAGCCGATTGATCACATGAGATGTACAACTGATGTCTAAAGATAACGCAAACTGTTCCCGATTACTGGACGCATGAATCAAATTCAGTTCTTTCCCTCTTTTTTTCAAAAATGATAACCCAGTGTAATCCCCATCCACCAACTGGATTCTGAACGAAATAGGTTGCATGCTAAATATGTTTCACCGTTTATTAGTGAAATCTGATCCTCTACTGTTGAATAATGGATTGAAGGAGGCTTCTTTATATCCCCGTTCTCCATTTGGAAATTTCCTGCACGCGTCACAACACCAGTGCACAGTGGGTTAAATCAAACAGTGTTGAATTGAAATATGGTTTGAAAACATATGGTGCATTAGAAGTTTGTTTATCATCGTTCATGAGCCAGGCGCAGTTTGCTTCAAATGAACTACGGTTAGGTCGCACACAGACACTTCATCCGGGGTCAGATATGTACAAATAATCCTCATGTGTGCCTCAATTTGGTGTTCTTTTGGTTAATGCAAACAACCATTTGAGAAAGCAGTTGGTCTCATTTTGGTTCTAGCACGGACTATAGCCAACCGCATGCTTCTAGCTATTTTAGTTTAGACTTTAGTGGGACTTTTAAAATCCCCAATGCACTTGAACGGTTTCCTCCTTAAGGATACGAACACCTGTTTCTTTGTTATGAAAAACTTCAGCAGAACTCTATCCACCAAAGCACACGCATTGGTGAAATCAGATTTAGAACAAGCGGGGCGGGGGTGGCTGGAAAGATCGTTTTATCTACCTCATGACCTAAGTCTGTTGCCAAACCAATGTACTATTGGCTCACAGCAAGAGGTAAAACGAAAAGTAAGGTCATTCGAACAGTTAGCATGTGATTTATTCACGCCCCAGATCATTTTCCGTGAGGTGGCGTGTATGTGTGTGTGTGTGTGTGTGTGTGCATGCGTGCGTGAACAAAGCCTTGCACGATGAAAGCGAACTGTTTGAAAAGAAACGGGACCAGAAAGGCGAATGCTCAAAATGTTATTCGACTGGCTCAGAACTGCACCTATCCTCCAGCTCGGGTGCGGAAGTGGCACGTAAGTCAGTTGAGACCTGAGTAGCTTCAGATAGTGCATCATGATACGTCGAGACAGAAAGGAGCTCATCAAGAAAAGCGGTAATTTGTTTGTTTGAATTGTATTCTTCCTTTCTAGTTTCAGACTAGCGACAGACATAATTTGTCCATTTGTATTATTCACACAGAAGATCCGCAACGCCAAAATTTCTCCAACTCCGATAATATTGATCACATAAGTGATTTCTCATTTGTACAACTTCAAACGGTACAAACTGAAGAAAATACGTCAGTGTGCTTGAATTATCTAATGAATGTAATAGTATAACTGGTAAAAGTAGCGTTTCATTTTCAGAACTGAAAACTGATGGGGCCAAATTCCTAGGGGCTGTCACTATTTCCAACGAATCGATAAATCCAAGCTCAGATTGCCTATCTTATGCTGCTGAAGTTGAGTCAGAAATTTAAGTTGCCATCGTCCTACTTCCTTTTATGTGGTACAATGAAATAAAAATTGGTCATCCTGTACAAACCGTATTTCAAAGTGATACAGCTTTTGAAAATACCGAAGGCCTGCCGTTTGGCAATCACTCAGACACGACGGAAATAGATCCAATGGACCATAACTCGTTGGTCTACATCGCCAATTATCTCACAATCCACACAACCGCTGTTGGTCACAACACATCACCAGTACTTGTGGTTTTAACCCCATTGTCTCGATAGAGGTGCGTTGTCATCCATGCGTGACAAATAGGAATCATATGCTAAGTCGGACCATTTTCTGACTAACGGACGGACAGACAGACAGACAGACAGACAGACAGACAGACAGACAGACAGACAGACAGACAGACAGATAGATAGATAGGCAGACAGATAGATAGATAGATAGATAGATAGATAGATAGATAGATAGTTAGATAAACAGACTGATTAGATAGATAGATAGATAGATAGATAGATAGATAGATAGATAGATAGATAAATAGACACGGATCCAATGAGAGATAGATAGAATGATAGATAGAAATATAAGTCGATAGATTGATAGATACGTAGATAGATAGATAGATAGATAGATAGATAGATAGATAGATAGACACCGACAGATCGCTAAGATAGGATAGATAGATAGATAGATAGATAGATAGATAGATAGATAGATAGATAGATAGAGATAGATAGATAGATAGATAGATAGATAGATAGATAGATAGATAGATAGATAGATAGATTTACGTATGCAGAAATGTGGATAAATGATCTTTTTAAGTTTTTCGTGCCCAGACGCAGTTTCACCTACTTCTATGTTTTTCTGGGGGGATGAACTGACGAAATCAGAACAACTAAAAATCAAATGTCTCAGAGATGTGATTTGAAGAGAATAGACATGCTGAGCAAACGCACATGAAAGAGGGAGAGACAGTTCACCATGAGCAGTGACACAAACAGCAAAAAAGTGAAATTTAAAATCTGTTCAGGAATAAGATGATAAAATTTTACTTTTTGACAAATGTAGCGACTGTTTTGCACTTCAAATCAAGTGTATCTGTTCATAGTTATGAGTTCCTAAAACCACTCTTTGTAACATTGATTGTTGCATTATTTGAGATTCATGCAACATTATTTTTTCTTGTCAGGGATATGTTATTCCAGTAAAGTAAAAAGTAAGGATGCTGATTTTATATAAATGTTGGCTGTACGTTTTCTACACTTTTATTAAAGGGTAATTTCAGCCCTTTATTAGGTTGAACCATTTTTCAGAGAGGAGGACAATACCAGGTATAGATTGATTCATGTTTTTGGAGACAAAGGGGAACAATTACCCTGAGGAATAGCATATTTTTATTGTATACTTTTGTTCTGTGCTGTTGTACTTCAAAATACTGGGATGTGCGCATCATCAAATGTGAAAAGAATCGCCAAACGATTTAGGGGCTAAGTTCTGGGCAAGTGAGGCTCAACCCAGGCATTTCTCGGTTGTACTACGAATGCCCATTCACAGATCCTGGGGTTTTTGATGGTTCTAATTTCTGTGTTCAACTTTCCGTAAGCTTTTATCATCCATTAGGAAATAAAATTCAAATAATGGGGGATTTTATTTGAGTCGTCTAAATGATATAACCACTGGCTAAAGGTGTTATTCACTTGACCATTTAGAATATCAATAACGATTTTGACTTTTATTTCGAAATTTTTCATCCCCGATAGGTTGATAAATATATAATTTCATGCTGAAGAGTCCCAAAAGATCCAAAACAGCTGTCCAGTACTCTTTGTCGATTCGCACAATCGAAGTCCTATCATCTATAAAAGTCACTCTATTTGCAGAATAGCTAGATTGAATGAAACTGATATCAGAATTTAGTCTTCTTAAACTAGCTTTGAGGGAATGCAATGGCATTTTCAGTCACTCTAGCAATAATACAATTATTTTTATTCCAACAATAGATAAAATTTTCAAATAAAAAGCGATCGTACTGTTGTGCAAAACATAACTCCCCGAAAGGCAATGAAAAGTAGACCAAATCTGACTACTCTGAGCAACACATGATTATGTCACCCTGTGTTCTCAGTAAAAATCTGAGGAAACCCTAATGATTACGTCCTTAGCCGCTCAACCTATTACGTATCTCCAAAGCATACGATAAACTAACGATTCTTTATCCGCCATCCTTGATGCTTACCAAATGTTCATTGGGTCCAGTTGTAAGACTGTTTAACGAATATTCCAAACAATATGGTATTTTAACCTAATCTGATGCCAAAATTCAGTTGCGTAAGTAAATCTATATCCAAACTCCCCTGAATTCAACTTGTAGGTGTTGAATAAATCGCCCAATATGTTTGATCTGCCCAGTTCACTGCTTGTTTCTTTTACTTTTGTTTATGCGATCGTTTATTTAAACCATACAGATACAGGCACACAAACGCTCTAAAGATACAAAATCCACCTAAAAGTACTGCGTAATTTTGCTCAAAAATGAAACTTTAACTGAAACCTAAAACACCTCTTGCCTCAACTTTGGTAGATATGTTTCCCTATATCGTGAGCAACAGCTGCTTGCTGTGCCAGGTAATGGACACACATTAATTTAACCTTTTTCACAAACACTGGAGGTGCTTCAAAGGCCACGGACGGTTAAAATGCCACATTATCTTCTGTGATAACACAGTACAAGCAAGACTAAAGGAAAGCACAGAATAACCAAACTTAAAATACTGGGTTAAAATAAAAGTAAACGGAACACGTTTTTTGAAAAATCATGAAAACCTAGATGAGAACAGTTGAAATACAGGTGTGTATAAAAGAGCAGGAGAAAAAAATAAGTTGAAAATTTGACCCACAATACGTCTTTCATACATAAATCGATCAACTGTGCTGAGGCAATTTCCGGAAAAATATAAACTATTGGTGGAAACGAAAGACCTTGTAGTAGGAGATAGACTATTTGCAGGACGTTTCATGATCATATAATCTTTTAGTTTATGCATCTGCATTCTTTAGTTTTCTTGATATCTTTCATAATTTGAGCCTTAATTTGGCCATTTTTGTCTCTTACTTTGTTCATTGATTAGGTGTTGATCTTCTATGAACCGGTGGTTTGAACGAAATGTACAGCACTTTCATCGCCCGAGTTTTATCTATTCGGAGTAATATTTAATTTAATCTAGATTCAAAGAAAATAGGTTATTTATTATAAATGAGTAAATGTAAAAATTCAAACATAAAAGATCAAAAGCCATTGCCTGGTAATAAACTTAAACGATATACTAATTCAGTTGTGCACATGCAATTACACGGGTAACAAATTTCATTTCATTTTTTCATTGAACTATCTCAGATAAGCATGCAAACAAAATTTGGCAGACTTCATCAGAATAACTGTATGCAGTTTGCAGAAACTACAATTCAATTGCAACTTTGTATTTTGATTAAAATAAATTAATCGTATTGGGCAACAAGTCAGATATACATGCCTCTCTAAAGACTGAAATTAGAAGCATAAGCAAAACCCACTTGATCATCTTTGAATGCGTAATTATAAAAAATTACTCTAAAATTAAGCAAACCATTGCACCGGCTGAAAATATAATTTTTAATTTTGACTTTTTGAAGGTTGTATTTAATATATTTTATCTTTTACTTCTACGCTACAGGTTTATGTAAAGTGTTTCACTGACAAAACAAACCAATTTTGCAATTAAAGGTTAGCAACTATATTACCGTCTGCGGTTGATATTCTCGCAAGAGTACGCTCATATTTGTTCAAGTTATTTTTTAAACATCTTATTATTTTCTCAATATGTTAAAATGTTCCATTTTCTAAATTAGAGCGATTAAAACCAAATCTTTTTCAGCATAGTAACTTAGATTTTTGGTATTTAGTAACTTTAATGTTTAAATAAAAGCATTTGTTTGATACTACCTTTCCAGGCCAACGATTAGGTAAAAATGAAATCCCAGTTTGTACAGTTTATTATATTACTGTGAACGTTTTCATCTTTTGTTTACAACGCCTACAGAGTTATGGCTCGTGAAAAGTGGAAATACAAGTGTTATTACAACAAATTTGTTAGATAGTTTTACTCCTTTTTTGTTCCAAATATTGTATAGATTCCTCTTGGAGTTTTTCTTTGCATCAACACTTTTTCCCGTTTACTGAGTGTGCCATCTGTTTACACAAATTTTATAAAGAATTGACATCGTTAACTCCACCGAGTGTTAATAAGCGTGCAAATGCTATATACTAAATTGTATGGATGCCTTTACAACCAGTCTAGAGTTTGAAATATGTTGTTTACCACTATGGCTTTTATCCAATAATATTACAGTTTTGATAGCAGCTACGATTTACGTTTATCTGTTGGTAAATGACCACAGTGAGAATGGAAAACTGGCGTTTATAATTTTATTTAGAGCATCCAACAATCACGACTTAAGATGTTAACAGCAGCACCATTGACAGAAACAGAATAATTAAATTGAAATTGGGTGATTAACACCAGCTATTTCACCCACTACAACTCAAAAAATGATTACTTTTCATAAGGACTTTTCTCCTTTCCTGTGTGTCTTGCAATAAGCCTGATAATACCGGATTAAACCATTTTATGACATGGAAAACGAAATCTATTCACGACGAACCACCTGTGCTTCAACGTTTATTTAATATATAGTATAAAACCACACATAATAAACCACTTTTTTCCAGTGTTTTCAAAAAATACATACTCACAAAGTAAAATTTTCAAGGACCACAGATAAATAAATATTCACTCAATAAAACCATTATTTAATCATCATCTCGGTGTATGTGAACGTCTATTCAACCATTTAAAAAACCACGAAATTACACTATTTTAGAAAAAATTACCTTGGGACTGTACGCTATCATATAAATTTATCCATCACACAGTTTCTTCCAGTATACATTTATTTTGCACTTCACCATCAGATCCTGGACCACTGAACTAAACTAAAATTTTATGTTTCTATCAAGCTTTCGCCCTTGCTCTGATATAATAGGGTCATTCTGAAAACCTTAACACTCACCTTATTATCCGGCATAAGCAGTCCTATGTAAAACGGCAATATAGCGACAACGTCAATGATGCTCATTACGGTTATAAAGAATTTCCAGCGATTAGGAGCAGCGTACATCCGGGCACAATATTCAATTGTAAAGATTACAACACAAGCTGTATCCAAACAGAAAAATGCATCCACATAGCGATCACCACATGCTCGCTGCTTTAATAAACCAGGCTCCGGTCCACACGGGATAGTTTCCGTAATGTTTGCAAACACCGACACAGCTATGAAAAATCCAGTCACATAGTAGATAACAATTGCAGTAGTTGAGAATTCAGGGTTTTCAAATGCATGCCATAGCCGGCTGCGGAAATCTTTTGGAACATCTGCAGACTCTTTTGTCACTGATTTCTCTTCCAGGAGTCTCTCTGAGTTTTCCCGTTTGCTGTCGTGATAGTCTTCGTAGCAGCAATCGCCAAGTGCCTCTGGAGCTATTCGGAAGTACGAAAGTTCATCTTCATATTGCATAACACATTCTTTCTTAGGGTAATGTAAATGTCCGCATCTATAATAAGTCAATATATGGCGAAATATCTCTGGGTCACGATCGAAATAATATTCTCCAACAGTTTCATCGTAGAAATAATCCTTTTCATCAGACCCCAATAATGTATGTGGATACCGGTTTAGACAGCTTTTGGAAACTTCGAACCTTTGGCCACTGACATTTATGATAGCCTTGTGATCGGTGAGAGCGGATAGAACATTATCCGCAGCAGCGTCTTTTATGGCAAGTGGTTTTGGTAGTGTGTTTTGAGCTACGGGTATCCACCCTATGGCAGTTGCCCTCACCAAAGGCAACCAAGCAGAAGCTCGCACCAGATCACAAACTTGAGCCATTGTTTGAGCAGACTTAGAACTACTATTCCGAGATATGTAGAGCAACGCCGATGCTCATTATGAATCACTTTCCCATATTAACGATGCGTTTACTATCAACGCGCGTATACACATGACGGAGTCGTATTTATGAAAGCGCGCGTGACCTTCAGTAATCTGATGGTTGAAACGGACAAACAAACATTATCATTTCGAAAATGTCTCCAGAAGATAAAATAGTGGTATGATATCTGAAAACCCTAAGACTTAGCGAACGGTTTTCATTCGAGCGCCGTTCAGAAATTGCATTGGGGCGGCTAACAAGAAAATCAGTTCCCAATAAGGAGACAGAATATTACCCACTCTCAATAACGGAGGGCGGAGTCAGTTCAGTTCAGTTCATATCTCACATGGCGAAGTGAGGTTCTTGCCAGCCGCGTTTCCAGTTCCTTGTGTTGTCGGCCTTTTCTAGTCAATAGTGTATTCTGAAAGGCAGAATGTCTGTGTACATTATCAGATTCCTTACAATTCAGTTGGACAGGACAGAACAGCACACTTCACAGGACTTGCGGCCTGGGCCAGTATGGTAGTCCAGGTTCTCGCGTCTACGGGTCACGGGTCTCGTAACGCTTCGACAGTGAGATGATCGGTCCTTGGTGGTGTAAGAGTACGGTCGTGCAGCAGGGACGCCAATCCGGTTTGCTGTCGATGAAAGCAGCACCAGTTGATCATTCACAGGTTAACCGGGAGGTCCGAGTAACCCCTCCCCCAGAAAACAGTAGAGAACCCGCAGGCATGCGAAGATAGATTAATATGATAAAAGAAAATTAAGCTAGTACGGGGAGGAAGGTGTGGGGTTTTGGAATTAGACAGGTGAGGTGAAGGTAGTTCAAGTATTTGGGATGATATAAATAATAATAAAGATGAGAGGGGAAGTTACATATATGGATAACACCAAAGAGTGTCGATTCTTTTCTTAGTCTGATTCAGGGAAGGTTACAACCCACAACTCATCAAGTCTTTTTTGAACAATTCCAGCGTGGACGCCGAGACAACCTCAGAAAGAAGTCTGTTCCAAGCGTTGCCCTTTCTCTCTTTAGTGCACGAGGTTTGACCAGCTTCAGCTAGTGTCCTCTTAGCGCTGGGTTTCCACTGACGGAAAAGAGTTGCCCGCTAGGCTGTAAGAGTGCCTTCAGTATCTTGAAGAACCTCTTTTAAGTCACTCTGATTCGCTTGTGCGACAGAGAGATAGAACAACTGTAGCTCTCTAGAGCGCCTGGAGTTCAACATCATCCTCAGCGTAGGAAAAAGCCTAGTGAATCATCTTTGGCCGTGTTCTACAGCCCTGTGGTCGCACACGAGCTTCTGTGCCCATGCCTGCACACAGTATTCGAGGTGTGGTAGCGTCAGGGCCGTGTTTAGGGGTAGTGTACGTCAACCAATTTGCACTTGAGTGACGCGTAACCGAAACCGATACGAATCCCAAAATAAAACGCGACTCATCCGTAATGTTCTACGGTAATGAATTAGAGAAATCATTACAAAATGTACAATAAAGCAAATATGCGGCCAAAAGCACTCAAGCAAGCGAGTCAAATATGATGTCCAGAGAGAGCCAAACAGTCGCTCACGTTCTCCGACCACGCAAAATTCAAATGTCTCGGGCATCGAATTAACAGATAAAGAATAATGTATGGTGTTTGTGATTGCGAAATGTCCACAAAGAAGCAACATACAAAGTTATGTCACCTTGAATTATCATGGGTTTGGAAGGGTTTTTTCAAAAAATTAACATGAAATACACGGGTCGCCAACATCCTTCCTGCGTTCGTCTGAGTCAACGGGTTGGCGCGGGTCATTGATGCTTTTCTACCTCTCCACCTACTTAGTCCCTGCTGTCAGTGCTTCTGCCTACAACCTGATCAACCATCGCTGCATTCGTCGATATTGACATCCGACGACTTGCACGTTCCTTCGTCGAGATCTGCCTTCTACATCAGCACGCTTGCCCCAAGTCGCACGATAAATATATAACAGTGGGTCAACTGAATTTTATTACAGATAAGGTCTCGAGGTGTAAACAATTAGGGGAAATGTATGCGATGTAATTAATGTTCAAGTTTTACCAATGAAATCATGTTCAGCAGGCAGGTGACAGTGTGTATGTAAATGGATGAGTATTGTGAGGACATGGTCTCACCTTCGAGGTTCATGTCATAAATTGTGTATCAATCAAATAAAAAGACAGTCTTGAAGTCTTGAAGTGATTCATGGGTTCGAGACTGTTGCCCAAATGTCCCGGGTCCTTGAAAGGTATCTGTGTTTTCTTTTGGTTTGAATTGCCTCTAGAACAGAGAGTACTGAAAAGGGATTAGTAGGGTTCCCCGCTCGAGGCGAGAAATAAAATGAAGACTTGCGAACTCTTATATAATTCAAAATGTTTTTTTTCTTTATTGGGGAAAAGTAGATAAACCTAAGTG